TTCCTGCTGTGCTTTATTTGCAGTTGCACCAGCAATGGGGAAACCACAGAATCCTATCCCTGTATGGAAAACATCTAGGACAACTTTCCACAGTCCCAGTTTCTGCGTATCTTCAGGTAAGGACAGTGAGAAGCAGAAATGTAATAAAAATATGAACAGCCATGCTTCTAAGTGTGCAGTTTAATAAAGGCCACTTAAAATTCTTCTGAGGTGGGGTAAGTTAGACAACGTGAATGATTGGTCTCAGGTCACCCAGCAAGATTCTTGATGGAGTGAGGATTAGAACCTGGGTCTCCCAGATCCTAGTCTGAGACCCTAACCACTATACCAGACCAGCTCTCTAGACAACAAATCATTACAAGACTCCCAGCCCTTTTATCATTCTAGTTGCCCTTTCCTGCACTTTTTACAATGCTATAATATCCTTTTTGAGGTGTGGTGATTATAGGAGATTAAGAAAGAATGCAGGAGAAAAAAGAAACGGCACCAACAAATTGCAGAAACAAATCATCTTGCACGCAGAAGAAATTCAGTTCATTGTGTGAGGAAACAGTGCCCCTCTGTGGTCAGCTGGGGGGATGCATAAATTTGTTTTTAAGAAATGGCTATGGAGATACTTTTTTCCTATTTAAGACAGAACTAGAAAACAGAGTCAGGGAAACCTTCACAAAATTATCAGAATATCCTGAGGGAGGTTCAGCTGCAGTCACAGCATCTGTATCTTGCAAAACAGATTTGGGATGTTCACAATAGTATATTACAACTGTGCTTGGATCTTTGCATGTTGAAGACATTTGTATCTGATAATTTATAGAAGAGGAAAGCAAAAATATATTGGAAACACACCTATGTAAAACAAATGCAAATAAATGAATATTTCAAATGGATCCAGATGTCAACTTCCTGCCCTGTAAAACTGGGAAATGTATAGTAGGAGTCAGACCAACCAGGTACCCTGAAGAAATAGCCTGGAACAAATTCTCTGGAAGAACAAAACAAGAGCATCTTTGGTAAAAAGTCAGTAAGCCCCTTTTCTTACCTAATCTGAATGTGCTGAGTTATTTTTAAAATGCTGTTTACCAAGCTCAGTTTTGTATTATAGAAGGCAATGCCTTAGGTGACAAGTTTCCTTAAATTTAGAGGGCATTTTGCTGAAAAGTTGGTTAACTCCATTTTCCTACTGAACTGAATGTGTCTGTTTCAAAAAGTTATTTTCCAAGCTCAATTGTATCATTTGTGTACTGAGTTTGGTTTTATTTTGTTTTGCTTTAAGAATAAAATGGCATCTGAACTTGTTTTTGTTTACAGTGGACTAATTTTGCAATATCCGTATGTATTGCTCATTGGTATGAATAACATATTTTATATAGGTAATCGGATCATTTTTAAACGAAAGATTTGAATCATGAGGTTTTTTGCTTTAAACATTTTTGTCTGCTGAAACACAGCTGAAATCACAATAATGCCTGAGGTGATAATGTTACTCATTCACGCAACCACTTCACTTAGTTCTGCATTTCCTTGCTGTGGTGCAGTTTCTTTTTACAACTACAGTTGTTTTATCTGCCATTCATTAAAGCATCCACAGGCATTGAGTTTATCACAACCATCAGGTTCTGGAGTGAGTGACATGAACCTTGGAAGCGGAAGTGTGGCCCTTGCCTGATTCCTGGTTCCTCCCAGGAAATACAACATAACCAACTAGTCTACCTCCCATAGCCCTTTCCCATATTGGTACATAAATTTGCCAACCTCCAGGTGGGGCCTGGTCCTGGAGATCTCCCACAATTACAACTGACAACAGAGATCAGTCCCGCTGGAGGGAGGAATCTACGGCATTACACCCCACTGAAGTCTGTCCCCAAACCCTCCCCTACCTAGGCTCCACCTCCAAATCTCCAGGAATTTCCCAACCCAGAGTTGGCAACCCTATCCAAGTTAATCTAAACCAGAACTCCTAGGCTGCTTCCACATGACAAGGCTGCTCCACATGGCTTTCATTGCTGCTGCAAATGCAGGGACCAGGGCATTGGCAACAGAACATGAGAGCATCCTTTGCTAAAGCCTCCATTTTGGGGGGCTGACTTTTCACTTTCAAAATTGGTCCACAGTGACTCCACATTGGCTCACCATGGCTGCCATAGTTACTTGCCAACCTTCGCTTTTTTGTTCTTTTCTTCACGTATGTACCTCAATGCTATATGAATAGGGTCCCTCTAGCTGAAGCTTTGCCCCTTTTGTTTTCTTTTATCTGGTATACAAAGAAATCACAGCATGGTGTTGATGGAAAGGACTGGTTGCATGGTGGATTCCTGCCTCCCCCTTCCTTTGTTGTGCATGTAGCATTAAAAAAGGGGTTATTGAAATTTCAAGTAGACGTATCAATATATTGCTGTAGCAATTACTGTTTTTTTAAAGCTCTCTGGTGAGGAAGCAAGGAAAAAATGATGGGCAAATAGTGCCTGTAATAGTTGATGGTTGAGAAATGGTGCTGATATGGCCTTGGGCTGTTGCAGGACAAGAAAATGATCCCCATTCCTTCTATGCTATGTGCTAACAGTGTGCCTGGTCTGCCATTTCCAAAAATACCAGAGTAAGGCAGATATGGGGCAGTGCATTGGGGACTACTTGGAAACATGATACTTACAGCATGATGACATGTGAACGCTCCAAACAAAGGGCTCCAGTTTGGAAACCCAGGTGGAATTTTTTTTTAAAATCCAGAAACAGCCCGAGAGTCCAAAGAACAGGTAATTCCAAATTTTAAAAAGACGTTTCTTCCCTACCAAGCTACTATACTATGTGGAGAGGAACAGAGAAATTAAGACTATGCAATTCAAATTTCCTCATACCACGAGCTCCCCTAAAGAACCAGAACACATTAATTTTAATATTGTCAGGCCTACTTTGAATCAAAAGATTTAAATTCAGTGTAATTCAGATTTCCTAGGTCTTTATGAAATTCAGCTTGGTAAACAGAACATTTGTATTCAGCATATTCAAATTACAGTAAAAAAAAAAGGCCTGTTAACCAACTTTTCCACTAAAAATACTTCTTGCTCCATACAGCACATTTCTGCAAAACTGTCTGAGATAAATACATATTGCACATTTGTTGTTTCTAGACTCAGCTAACATGTAGTTGCATTGGTCCCATAATCACTATTCCCTGAGTGAGTAAATAGGGAATGAGAGCAGTGAGCTTCAGGGCCTGGATGTGCATGTGGTGTACACCTGGCTATCATTAAAACTTGTGTGGTGCAGTTCTCTGTGATAAGGCTTCCCTTGCTTGAAAGCCAGTCGAATTCAACTCTAGGGATGCGGTGCTCATCTCTGTTTCCAAGCCGAAGAGCCAGCGCTGTCCAAAGACATTTCCGTGGTCATGTGGCCGGCATGACTAGACACTGAGGTGCATGGAATGCTGTTACCTTCGCACCGAAGTGGTACTTATTTATCTAATTTCTTGCTTTCCAACTGCTAGGTTGGCAGGAGCTGGGGCCAGAGACAGGAGCTCACTCCATCACGGGGCACTCAGGTCTCAAACTGCTGAACTACCAACCTTCCAGTCTGCAGTTCAGCGTCTTAACCACTTGAGCCACCGCAGCCCCTCTCTGTGATAAACAAATGCTCAAATTGTTTCTTGGCTTGTGTCAAGGCAACAGCTTTCCTCATTGACAATAGTGCAAGAACATGAAATGGGAGGAAAGTACCTCACAGAAATATTAACTAGAATTTGATGCTGCTGTTATAGTTTGTGGTATATTTTGATCATGACCTATTTAGACTATTGGAGATCAGCCCACAAATCAGCACATTCACTACCAT